CCTGGGCAAGGTTTTGAAAGGCCGTGAACCTTTTTTCCGGGTTACCGGAAGGGGGAAAAAGGAAGTTTTTTGAGGGGGGCAATGGGGGTTTTAAGGGGGTATAGAAGTCGTTGGGCCCCTTAATAAGGTACCAAAATTTTGGGGGAAATTTTGTGAGACAGCCCGATTCAGTCCGTCCCTTAACCCTCCCCCTTTTTTTTTTTTTTTTTTTAGGTTTTGGGGGGGAATTTTTTTCAAAAGGAGAATTGGAACGAGAAAGGGGTTACGTGGGTGGAAAGGTTGATCAAAAACCTTTTAAGTTTTTTTTTTTTTTTTAAACAAACCGAAAAAGCCAGGCAAAAATGTTCAAAAGTTTTTTTTTTTTTTTTTTTTTTTTTTTTTTTTTTCTTTCTCTCCCTTTTTTTAATAATCATAATTGAATATAAATTATTAAAAAAAATTCAAGATATGTAATTTTTTAATAAGATAAAATAAAAGTGTTTTAATTTTATCTATCTAAAATTTTATTTTGTAAGGCTCAAATTATATGATAACATTTAATCCGTGCCGACCATAACTTTACCTTCTTCATTATTTAATATTCAAATTAAAATTTGTATTCCCATATTTATATACATACAACTACACCGAAATAATTATTTTTATTATAAAATTTAACATGATGTATATATCAAATAATCATAACTTGTTAATTTACAGCTAAATTAATTATCATAATTGTAAAATCTTCAAGTTTACCCTAGAGATGTTTAATTGAGTGGATACTTGCATCATCATATAAATATCTGAAATTCACTATCCTTTTTAAATATTTAATTTAAAATTATAATTTAAATATTTAAAGGAAAGATATAATTTCAAAAGTTAATTTTTTTTAATAAAAAAAAAAACAAAATTTAATATCCAACTTAAATATTCATAATTAATTACATAATAAAATATTAAAAAAAATAATATCTTAACAATTAGACTCATTTGGGAGCCTGATCAAATTGTACAATATTGTTGGCATGTAGAACTTCTTGTCAAAACCTTAATCAACTCATGAAATTGTGGCTAAAAAGGAAGATACGGTCGGTGAATAATTTTAAAAAGGAAACTTTATAATTTTGCACATTTTAAATTTGGAATTATTTTGCATTTTTTAAATATATAATAAATGTGGGTCAAATAGTTTGGATTTGTTTTTCAAAATTTAAACGCAAACCTAAATAATATTATTGTTATCATATCCGATTCTTTTTTTAAAAAAATAAAAAATTATAATAAAGGAAAAGTAATAATAATTCTTATAGGTATATCACGTGTTAAATTCACATTCTCAATTGAAAAAAATAATTTCATAATATTTTATTGAAATAAATTAAATTGCTATGATTTTAGTTGAATATACAAGTTTTTGTTAATTTGATAAAATAAAATTTGGATGTTTAAAAATTTAACTCAGACTCTTATCCTTCCCACCATCGAACTTAGCTGTCTATGTGATTATGCGTGTGTGGATATGCATTATGTGATAACTCATGAAAATCATGAATTGTGATAAAAACATTTTGTCCAGGCGAATCAATTTTCATGGGGTGAGAATTAGGAAAATAATATCTAATTATAACGTACCATTCCACAATATTTGGGCATATCCAAAACGTTTTAAATTTGATAAAATAAAAATCAAATCTCAATGAAAATATAGTTAATGCATGATAGATTGATATATCTATAATATTAATTTCAATAATTAAGTAGATGACCCACTAATCTAATATTTTATTTTTTTTATCCACTTATAACAGTTAAAATTAATTTAAAAGATACAAAAAATAATAGATAATCGTTATAAAGAAAAAAATATATTGATGAAGTAAATAACCTTAAAATAAATTATAAAATTATTGTATTTTATAGGTATTAATTTACAATAATAGAAATGATTATTAACACATTCAATTACCTTAAATATATTTTGACATCTTCTCTCATCTATAAAAGGAACACAAATTTCCTTTTTAAGTTGTCTTCCGTTAACCAAAATTAAAAACTTTTGTGCATAATAGTTAGATAGAGAGGAAAAGTGAGTAAGAGAATTAAATTTTTTTTTTCAAGGGGTCTCACAATCACGTTATGACTGGATCATTTCAGAACGATTTGTAGTTCTTACTTTCTACTGTCTTTCTTTTTTTTTTAAATGTGTTGAATTCAATAAAAATATGATTTCAGTATAAAAGTTTCTTACATTTAGTATAAGAGCAAAGTTAAATTCACACATTTTAAAATTCTACTGACAGTTTATATTTATATATATTATTACTAATAGTTTATATATATTATTATACTAACAGTTTATATATATATTATTATACTAACAGTTTATAAATATATTATTATACTAACAGTTTATACATTTATATGTATATATATAATTACACTAACAATTTATATATATATATATTATTATACTAATAGTTAATATATAAATATATATTATTGCACTAACAATTTATATATAATTTTACATTAATAGTTTGTATATATATATATATATATTATTGCTCTAACAGTTTATTTATATATTATACTAAAAGTTAATTTATATATTATTGCACTAATAATTTATATATATATAATTTTACACTAACATTTTATATATATTATTATTTTAACAGTTTATTTATATATTAATGTATTAGCAGTTTATTTATATATTAATGTATTAACAGTTTATATATATATTATTGCATTAACAGTTTATATATATATATATTATTACACTGACAGTTTATATATATGTATATATATAATATGATCTCACTAACAGTTTGTAATGTCCTAATTAATTTTGATTTAATTAAAATTAATGAATAAGTATAATTTTCTATTTTTTTAATTTTTATTTAAGGTAAAAATGAAGAAAATTAAATGGATGATGAAATTGAAAATAATTTTGGAAAAAATGGGTAAAATTTTTTATTATGGGAGTGTTTTTGTAATGACTAGAAAAAAAAAGAGAGAGAAGAGGGAAACGACGCCGTTTTAAAGAGGGAAAAACAACGTCGTTTTGTAGAGGAGAGAAAACGACGTCATTTTGAAAAGGAAAAAACGATATCGTTCTGCAAGGGAAAAAACGACGCAGTTTTGAGAAAATTGGGGTGATATAAATAGGGGGTGGAGGAAGGAAGGAAAAAGGAAAGAAAAAGAAGGAAAAAAAAGGAGAAAGAAC